CCGGGAGTGCCCCCAGGCGTCCACAGGCTTCACCCCGTTTGAGCTCCTGTTTGGGCGGCGGCCGCGAGGACTGCTGGATGTCGCCCGCGAAGCCTGGGAGGAACAGCCGTCCCCGTACTGCTCGATCATTGAGTACGTGCAGGAGATGCAAGATAGAATTGACCGGGTGGCGCCAATAGTGCAGGAACATATGGGCGCCGCGCATGAGGAACAGCAACGGGTGTATAACTGCCCGGCTCAGCCCCGGAAGTTCCACCCGGGGGACCAGGTCCGTCGACTAGTGCCTAGTATCGCCTGCAAGTTCCTGGCCCGGGGCAGGGCCCGTATACGGTCCTTGAGCGACGCGGGGCCGTCAACTACCGCCTGCAACAACCCGGTAAGCATACGGACGGGAAGTTATACCATATAAACCTGTTGAAGAGGTGGGTGGAACCAGCCCCGATGGTTTCGGCGTACGCGGGCCGGGACAAAGACCATGACAAGCGTGCTTTGGTCGACTTTGGGGAGGACCTCACCCCTGCGCAGAGACAGGAACTCAACGAGATGGGGGACCAATTCGCAGACGTGTTCTCCTCCTCCCCGGGGATGACCCAGGTGGTTCACCACGCGATCAAGACACCCCCGGGCGTGGTAGTAAGACAGAGACCCTACCGGGTCCCTGAGGCCCGGCGGAAGGCCATCGAGGAGGAGGTGGAGCGAATGCTAAGGGACGGGATCGTCGAGGAGTCAACCAGCCCCTGGTCCAGTCCCATCGTCGTCGTACCGAAACCCGACGGAAGCATGCGACTTTGTAACGACTTCCGGAGGCTGAACCAGGTATCGGACTTTGATAGTTACCCCCTCCACCGAGTGGACGAACTGGTGGAGCAACTGGGGAGGGCCCGCTTTATATCCACCCTGGACCTCACCAAAGGGTATTGGCAAGTTGCCCTAGAGAAGAGCACCTGGTCCTCTACATCAGCCGGAAACTGGCCCCCGCTGAAAAGAGGTACGCCGCGGTGGAGCGGGAAGCCTTGGCAATAAAGTGGGCCATCGAAGAGTTGAGGTATTACCTAGCGGGCCGACACTTTGTCCTGGTCACAGACCACGCGCCCCTACAATGGATGGCCAAGGCCAAGGACACGAACGCCCGGGTCACTCGGTGGTTTCTCGCCCTGCAGGATTTCTCCTTTCAGGTCCAGCGCCGGGCGGGGGCCCTGCACGGGAATGCGGATGGGCTCTCATGGCGGGACACGCTCTGGGCCCACCTCCCAGCGGCAGTAGGCTCGGAGCTGAGGGGGGGGTACTGTCGCGGCGGACCGACACCCGACGCGCAGACTAGGAGATTCGCTCCTTCCCCGATTGCCGCACCCAACACTAACCGGAAGGGCCGTCACGGCGGGGTGGAGCCACCCACGCTTCGCCGGCGGCTGATTGGCGAACCTGGAGCGAGATGTCCACCAATACCGTTCCAGAAGGAGGGGATAAAAGGACAACCTTCCGCCCGAGGAAGATGGAAGACTGACTCGGCTACATAGGCATCTAACAGACGAGGTATTTTTCACAGAAACCACGCAACACGGGCTTACCTAATCTCTCGCGTTTTCTCTCTCTCGCTCTCTCTCCTCTCCGCTCACAGAGGGCTCCGCCCCGGACGAGGACGATGACAGACGAGGACAGTGGTGACGCTAAGAAACCGGCATAGGGAACCGCTTCTTCCCAGCTTCTTCCGGGAATCCCGACATGCCCCGAAGAACGCCGCTACGCCAGCCCCGCCCCCGCCAGGTTTCCCTCATCCAGCCACACACACACACGCACACACCCACACACACACCGCTTCAGACTGAAGGACAATAAATCCTTGGGTTTTTTTTTGCATTTCTCTCACCACAACCTGCGTGTGTTTGTGCTACGCCTCCCCCCCTGGGCTGATCCCGCTACAGTATATTTTATATACAACACTTTCTATATAGTGATATAATCTATCTGTTACCATCCTTTCCATAGTTTTGTCTAGCCGTGACGTTAATGCTATGAGTCTATAGCTTGCTGGATCTGACAGGTCTGTGCCAGGTTTGAGTATTGGAACTATAATTGCCTTTTCCATGTTCCTGGGATTTTTCCTGTATCCCATACCATATTGAACAGCCTTAATACTACATCAAGTGTGGTGTATCTCATGTGATCTAACATGCTATAGCATATACCATCTTTCCCTGGTGTCCTTTGCCATGCATTCGATATGGCCCTTTTTAATTAAAATAGAGTAAATGGCAAGTCCAACTCTCTCCCCCTGATGTAGTCCTTCTTACTACTATCCCTGGATTTTGGGCAAGTGTCTGATCTCTACACTGCTTAGCTGCTGAGGATAGGTTTTCAGTACTGTGGATCTTCATAAAAGTTTTTACCAAAAGTTCTGCTTTTTCTGCCTTGCTGATCGCATTTGTATTATTGCTACTTAACACTGGTATTTCTACACTGTTTCTTATTCCACATTTTCCTAACTGTTCTCCATATGTCTGATAGCTGGGTTTCTCTTCCAATTTTATTGCAGAATTGTCTCCAATACCCACGTTTGGCAGATCTAATTGTTTTCCTAACTACAGGAAATCCAAAAGAATCCAAAGTGTCTAGTGTATGGTGAGCTTTGAGTTGCCTAAAAGCTTTATTTATCTTTTTAATCACTATACTACAGCTCTCATTCCACCATGGCACGTTCTTTCTTCGTTCACATCTTGTCTTTTTAGGAATTGTTTCTTCGGCTGTTTGTATAATTGCCGTAGTCACTTTCCTGTTCATTTCTTCTACATCTGTAATATCCATATTCACTAATTCCACACATTTCTTTTCACTTAGCATTTGGAACATCTGCCAATCAGCTTTATCTAACCTCCACCTTGGTGTTCTCACTTCGTTATCCTGGTGTAGCTCTACTCCAATCCTGATTATTATTGGATAGTGATCACTACCTACTGTCGACTGGTCTAAAACCTCCCATGTGCTGATTCCTGCTGTTTCAGTTGCCATTATTGTCAGATCAATAGCACTTTCTGTGTTATGTGAACTACTAAACCATGTGCTCTTCCCGTCATTAACACATACCAAGTTTTAATCATCTATAAATTCCTCTATTACTGATCCATTTATATCTGTGTTTTTTCTCCCCCATATCATGCTGTATGTATTAAATTCCCCACACCATACTATTTTCCACTGCATTTAGTATATCAGTACTCAGTCTATTACAGGTATTATAAATGTTGACTCTCATTATACTGTCTTTTCCTGTCCACATTCTGACACCACAGATTCCTGTTCTTTCCCTTTATTGATTAGGTTATATTTCATATCATTTCTTACAAAAGTTGCTACCCCTCCACCTTTCCCTATCGTTTCTGATTGTAGTATATCCATAAATCACAAAGTCTAACTGTGGTTTCAACCATGTCCCTTGCACACATATTACCTGAGATTTATCTAACAGATCAGTCACAAACTTTTTGAATTCTTGTCCATTAGCTATAAGACTCCTGGTATTCCACTGCAATATAAATAGGATCATGACCACCAGCCCATGACTGATAGTTAGAGATTCCTGCAGTTAACATTTCTTCCACTCCTTCACTGCTGAGTCCTTTAATACCAAGGTATTTTTCAGCTGATTTAACTACTATTTTGATCTTTTCAGTCTTTCTATCGGTCTGTGCTGAGCAATTTATAACCTCAACCATGTCACGATTCCCCCGTGAAGCAGCGCACATGCGATTGCCCGCAGCTGTTAGCAGTTGCAGGCTAACGAGACATATGTGTATATATACCGTGAGCTGTGCTTCACATGGCGCGGTTGTTTGAATGAATCTATGAATGGTTATATCGATGTATGTGCTCTATGTATATCTCGAGTGCGACTATAGCGAATCTCCTTTTCATGTCATGTTTATGCCTTAGCCTTAGCATTAGCATTAGCCATAGTCACAGTGAGTTAGCTTAGCTTAGTTTCTTGAGAGAGTTATGTTTCTTGTTTCTGTTTTGGTTTTGCTTTCACCACACTGTAAATAAAAGTCACCGTCCGTACTGCGTTTGCATCCTGCCTGCTTCCTTCACATCACGGCACGTGAAAAACCATAAGCAACACAAACTCATTCTTGCTCATAATTAGCATATCTTTCTTTACCGCAATCTTTTCACAACTCCCGCGAGATCTATCTTTATTTTCCGGTTTGTAGCCCTTCCTTTCACTTGACACTTTCTTTACTGCTTCCGCATACGTTATTCCTTGCAATGTCTTCACTCGTTGCACCTCCCCTGCCTTCTTGCTGGCTTCACAGCCATGGTAAGCTGAGCTGTGCTCTTCTCCACAGTTGCAGCATTTGAGCTTTACTCCTTCTCCGCACTTCCTGTACTCATGTTCACCTGCACATTTACCACATCTCTGTTTGCCCTTACATATTGCTGCCACATGGCCATAATTTTGGCATTTTAAGCATCTCAGTTGTGGAGGAATATATAGCCTGACTTCATAGCTCATAGATATCCTATGTACACCTTACTTGGCAGTCTAGGTGAATTCGCATCAAACGCTCTCTGATTGGCTGAATCGAAAATCCTGCCATAACAATTTAGGTGTGTTCAAGTTCAGCTGCACCTCTACCTTCACTGCGCACATGAACCGTGGGGAAAGATAACATACATCAACTCATAAAAGAATTACGTCCATATATTTAGTGGTGCAGATTAATTTGGAAATAAATGGAATTTAAAAAACGTATCAACAGAAAGAAATGTTAAAAGTATCGTAAACTGTAAAAGTCTCCATGGAGTCACAATTGGTGTTTTGGAGCGCTCTGTATAATGATAATGAATCTTTATTGATCACATATACATATGCACAGTGAAATTATTTTCTTCGCATACCCCAGCATGTTAGGAAGCTGGGGTCAGAGTGCAGGGTCAGCCATGATACAGCACCCCTGGAGCAGAGAGGTTTAAGGGGCTTGCTCAAGGGCCCAACAGTGACAGCTTGGCAGTGCTGGGGCTTTAACCCCCGACCTTCCGATCAGTAACCCAGAGCCTTAACCACCAAGCCACCACTGCCTCATACATCGATGTATGAGTTCTGTAGACACACACACACACACACACACACACACATACACATACATACACACACACACACACACACACACACAACACAACATATGTTCAAGTATGTTTCATTTTAACTTTGCAGTTTATAATTTCTGGGGAAATGTTTGTTCCTTGTTTCGTTTTTTGCTGACTCATCCTGTACTGCCCAATTTGAGTGTTCCTGGCAGCTAGACAAAGAGCAGCAGAAGTGACAGGGGTGTGGCTTCCTTAACAAACAACACAAATAAACACAAACTAACATGCTGGTACACAACACAACATGAAGCAAAGATGCAACACATTTCCAACTAACAAATACTAAATCTAACAGAACAACGACATTAAACATTACAAATAAAGGAATACTCACACACATGCAATTTAGTGCCACTAATACAAATGGAATATTTGGTACATTTACTGTATATGTTTTTCCTGGAAAGGTACATATAGTGTACTTTTAAATTATTATTCAAAAGCTAATTCAAGAAATAAATTGGATTTTCAAGAGTGCTCCTTGATCTTCTATAATGTATCTTAAGTAATACCTTGATGTTGTTCCAAAAAGTATAAAACCCACCTGTGTTTCAATTAACTTCAGTATGGCAAGTAACCTTGTCCAGTATATTTCTCAAACATAGAGGTTTGAATATGAAGGTCTCATTGTTGTGCCCATATTGACACCTCTTATCTGAGACTAAAAGTTAGAATAAAAGCTAAAGCGGTTTAGAGTTCAGATGAGTTCTTTTGGTCCCTCTGCATTAAGAATATGCATAGACTTCTGATGTTCATTGAAAGAGTCAAAGGTTATTGTGCAGCAAATGTTCTTTCAAGAGTTGAAAATGTGAAGAGTCTTGCAGATTAGTGTGTAGAAGTTCACTCCAAATCATTAGGAGGGCTGAGTACTTTTTATTTGTATTTTATTTTTAGTATTTTCCATAACTTGAATTTAAACTGCAGTTGAAAAGTAGCTTACTATCAGCACAATCTATTTTTTTTCAACATTACTGAGATGAGCCATTTCTTTGTTCAAGAAGAACTAGAGATGGAAAAGTCCAGTAGATTGGAAAATTGCACATTGTGGCATTGTGGGAGTGCAGTGGGTAGTGTTGCTCCAGGTTTGATCCTGAGGTTGGGTTACAGTTACATAAGATTCATATTTTCTCGTCATGTCTCTGTGGGGTTCCTCCCAAAACATACTGATATGTGGATCGGTTATAGAAATTGCTCTTAGGTGTGAATGTGTGTGTGACTCTTTGACTCTGCTCTGGTTGCCAGTGTGTTCATTTAGACTCCCCGGGGCCGTATACGCTCCGTGATAACCCACAAGCGCTAGTTTTTCTTTAGAGTAAATGAAGCAGAGGCAAGAAATGCTGACGGAGGAAAAGTGAAGATAAAGCTGTTGTTTGCTTTATCCTTACAATTTGGTGTCAGAAGTGGGATTTCTCCAAATAAGGGTAGGTGATAATTTATTTTGTTCACTTCCCTGATGTGGTGAATTTCAGAACTTTTAAATGGGAGTGATTGTCTGGGATTAGGATAATCTGTACTCTGTGAGCTCCTCTGCAAACATCACGCCCACAACTGCCTTATAATAGAAATAGTATTTTTGTTTGTTTGCGCTTTTGTGGTTTATCAGGGTTTATTTTGTTTGTTTGTATTGTTTGTTCTTTGTAAATTCAGTGTTAAGTGTTTATCCAGGCATGGGAGTGTCCTCCTCTACCCCTGCTCCCCGTTTCTGGGGGTTTATGTTTATGTTTATGTTTATATACTGTTCCGTATCTTGATTGTTTGAATGGATGGTGTCACGATTCCCCCGTGAAGCAGCGCGCATGCACTTGCTTCTACCGTGGTGACGTCATGTCTTTGACCCGTCGGGTCATATGTCATTGTGTCACGTGTGTTTGGGAATTGCCCGCAGCTGTGAGTGGTTGCGGCACTAAGGACTGGGATATCTATATATACCTTGAGCCGTGCTCCCAATGGCGCGGTTCATCAGATCTACAGATTGACATATGGACATTGCGATGTGTGTATGTATGAAGGAATGTGTGCCATGTAAAGCTAGAGGGCGACTATCGTGAATCGCCGTGTCAGGTTATGTTTATGCTTTAGCCGTAGCATTAGCGCTAGCCGTAGCCAAGTGAGCATAGTTTAGCTCAAGGTGTTTGTTTATCGTATTTTGGTTTGCATTCACCACTGTAAATAAAAGTCACCGTTCAACTGCGATTGCATCCTGCCTGCTTCCTTCACATCGCATCACGTCCCGTGACAGATGGTCAATGGTGTGTTCTCCCATTACAAATGATATCTCTTCACGGTTCTTTTGAACCTAGCAGTTCTTGCACAGATTAAACAGATGATTTCTGACAGCGAATGAGATCCAGATTGGCACAAACATTATTGAGTATGATGACGTAAGCATCAGACCTGACCCTCCTTCGGGTCCTTTTTCAATGTCCACTATTCCTCTGCCACCGTCTGAGCTGTTAAAGCCAACTAAAGAGTAAAAGTGTCCCTAATTGTTTAGAATGCTTCATTACACAATGGAGACATGTTGCACTCATGAATTATAATCCTTTAAATACTCACATTCCATTTGTAAACACGTTCTTATCCTGCTCACCTCGCACCCGCTTCAGATGCATTGTACAGAAATAGAGGAAGCGGAGAGGGCATGTGCTTTGTGCAGAGTGGACCTATGCAGTTTAACATGGCCTTCAATTCGCCACAAATAAAGAAATTACCCATGATTGAACTAAATGTCTCAGGTACGGTATATGCCTTTTTATTGGTATTGGATACTGGTGCCACTATGTTACCAATTGGAAAAGACTACACTGGGCCTTTAACCCCGTCTTCTGTGAGCTCTGTGGGTATTGACGGAAAGTGACTGAGCAGTACGTAACACCACCGTTGTTTGTCCATCCATGTTTGGATCCTGAATTACTTTTTCAACATCGATTTATTATGCCTGAGTGTCCCTTTAATTTGCTAGGGAAAGATATGATGAGCAAATTACATTTAACCTTGCTTTCTCTGGTTCTAAATTAGTAGTTTCTACACCTCTGCTTTCTGAAACCGCAGTTAAACCACCCAAAATCATCTGTTCAATGTGTTTCACTCTCTATTTTCTCATTCTGAGTCACCAGGTCCGAGGTTGAGTTGCCTGCCAGATTTTCTTTGGGTCTCAAGAACAAAGAGGAAGTGATTTATCTGATATTCACTCTCACCTGTGCCTGCATTTTACGTAAAGGACAGAAAGTGACAATTTTTACTGATTCTAGTTATGTTTTTGGACGGATTTGGCAACAACGTGGTTTCAGGTCTGCAGATGGGAAACCCATTTCACATTCCACATTAGTGGAGATTCTTATTGCTGCCTGTTCACTTCTTCATTTCTTCGTCATTGTCAAAACCAAGGCGCATCTTGTAGGTAACACTGTAGAAGTTAAGGGGAATGCTTTAGCTGACCGACATGCGAAATTAGTTGCTTAATCATAAAACTCATGCTCTTTTTTAGTGTCTGCTGTACATTTTTACACTAGCGCTCTTTTACCCAGGGTAGATTTTTCATTGATGCAATCACATGCATCCCCAGAAGATGCTGAGTTCTGGTGGGCTCAGGGAGTAGTCCCAGACTATGATGGCATCTGGTTTGATCAAGTAGGTTGTCTATGCATTCCAAAAGCCAGCGCCCTATTTTTAATCCCTTAGTTTCATAGTGTTTCGTATCGTGGTTTCACTGGCGTAATGTCTGACATGATATCTAAATTTTGTATCAAAGATTTATTAAAGACATCAGATTAAACTACATCTCTCTCGCTGTTTTAATCTGTCTGTAAAACAATGTGCAAGGTTTGCCTGTGTGATATGATGCTCTTCCGCCCCCACAGGTGCCCTATGAAAGTCTGTAAATAGAGGAAGCGGAGAGGGCATGTGCTTTGTGCAGAGTGGACCTATGCAGTTTAACATGGCCTTCAATTCGCCACAAATAAAGAAATTACCCATGATTGAACTAAATGTCTCAGGTACGGTATATGCCTTTTTACTGGTATTGGATACTGGTGCCACTATGTTACCAATTGGAAAAGACTACACTGGGCCTTTAACCCCGTCTTCTGTGAGCTCTGTGGGTATTGACGGATAGTGACTGAGCAGTACGTAACACCACCGTTGTTTGTCCATCCATGTTTGGATCCTGAATTACTTTTTCAACATCGATTTATTATGCCTGAGTGTCTGAAAGTCTGTAAATTGACTTCACACATATGCCTTGAGTAGGTTTGTATAAAATGCTTTTAGTTATTGTTGATCCTTTCTCTAAATGGGTCAAAGTGTTTCCATGTGCTACTGAGAACGCAGTCTTAGCAAAAGAAATCATCCCATGTTTCGGTTTGCCTTTCAAATTGACTCGGAAAAAGGTACTGCTTTTACTTCACAAATGACATGACATCTATGCGACTATTTGGCTATAGATTGGAAATTTCATATTCCCTGCCACCCACAGTCATCTGGGGTGGTGGAGAGAATGAACCGCACTTTAAAAGATCGTTTGAGTAAAGCTATGCAACAGAGGGGGAGCACTGCCTGGTCTGATACTTTACCTCCGGTTCTGACTGACCTTTTGAGATTCTATTTGGTCGACCTTTTTCCTACTTCCTGGAAAATGTTTACTAATCTTTCTACTTCCGCAGGTAGCGGAGTTGACATTCATCTGTGTCTAAATTACTCGATGTCTTACAAGAAAACATGTATGTGTAACGGCTAAACTTTGTCTCCTTCTCCCAAGAATCCAACTTATTCTATTGTTCCAGGTGACTAGGAGTGCCCAAATGGAACAAGCAGTTGGGTGAACCCAAGTACACCAGTCCTTATGAAGTTGTGGTAGTAACAAGAACTGCTGTCATGACTTCAGAAGGCCACATATGGCGGCATGCAAGTTGGCTAAAATCTGTGAACAAATAA